GTGAGAAAAATGGATGATGAGAGATGAAAGAAGAAGAAGAAAAGAAGAAGATGCTTTCGAGTGTGTGTGAAAATGTTGGATAAATAGAAAGGTGGGAGAGGGACTTTTCGGTGGGCCAGCTTGGCGAGAAAATTGTGTCACTAGGAAAATGGCTTTTGCGGGTAAAGCTTGGTTTATTATTATTATTTTTATTTCAGAGAAAAATAATTGTAATAAATTAATAATAATAATAATAATAGTACCCACCTAAATCGGTTGTCCTGTCTGAATATATGGTTATAATTTTGGAGGGAGAAAATCTGGGCTAGTATGCATTTAGAATTCTTAAACAAGCTAGAACGAGTACTTCCTGAGCTGAGTTGATTAATATGGGAGTTGTAACTCGTTCAAAGCTGGTTAGATTTAAATATATAAAAAAACATATATATTTTGCTTTTTATAGTTATTTTTAAGGTTCGAATTTGATTCTTTAATGTTGATAACTCGATAAAACTTGAGTTCAAGCTTGCATTTAGCTCAATTGGTTCATACTGGGATTAAGCTCTGATCAATAGCCTTGAAAATGTGATTATACTGCCTGATTCTTGTTAATGTCAATTTCTATTTGAACCTTTTTTTTTCTTGTTTATTCGTCAATTTAAGCAATAAGATAAGATCTGCCATTGTAAAATCTGTATTTCAATTTATGTTTTATTCTATTAGACGAATATAACCTAACTTATCCATAATGTGTTACTTTTAAGCTTATAGCATTCACGCAATGAAACTAATAATTAGCTAGTACACATTTTTGAAACAAGGAATCTTTTTTCCTTAAGGTAGGTGACTAGTACGAGAGAGCATTAGCTTGGTACATGGTGAATTATTATTATTATTATTATTATTATTATTATTATTATTATTATTATTATTATTATTATTATGTCTCATCCATCCACCAAAGCATTAATTTTCTGTGCAGACTAAAAAACCCCTGGTGGTGCCAAAATAAAATGGGTTCCAACAGTGAGGAGGTGAAATGGAAGGGCACAGCAAAGGCGAAATTGCACGGTCCTACGGCAGATGAGGTGTGGCCACTCCTAGAGGATTTCTTCTCCCTCCACAAGTGGCTGCCTACCATCGACACGTGTCAGCCGGTCGAGGGCGCCGGAGACAGGCAGATCCGCTACTGCGCATCCACGGACGGCGGCAGAGTGCGGTGGTGTCACGAGAGGCTGGTGGAGATGGACCCAAAGGACAGGTGGCTGAGCTATGAGGTGGTGGACAACAACATGGGGTTTAAGCAGTACAAGTCAACGGTTAGGGTCAACGAAGCGGAGGCAGAGGAAAGTGGGTGCACCTGCACCATCGAGTGGTCGTTTAGTGCTTACCCCGTCCAAGGCTTCACTTGTCAGGATTTGCTTGCGTATTTGGATATCGGCCTTCAGGGCATGGCCAAGAATATGGAGATTGCATTGGATTTGGGACCACCCAATCTACCTACCATTTGATTTTATTTCATTTTCCTACTTTTTTTTTTTCGGTATTGGCAATAAATTTCTTCGGAGCGTGGGCTAAGTATAATTATGGATTAGGTTGTGCATTTGACTTTAATTACCATAAACAGTTCGCTGTTACGAGTCAGTCGGATAGACTTGTCAGTTTGCATTAGCAATTTTAGTTGTAATAGACAGTGATGTGATGTAGCGTAGCATACAAACGTGAAGAAGAAGAGTAAAAATTTACAAATATCTATTTATTTCATTCAAAGCCGGTCGGCTATGGGCAGAAAGGGAGAATAAATAGTCCTAAGCAGTGTTTTAAATACCGTACCGGTGGTTATACCGGTCTAGCCACCGGTACGCGGTATTACCGGTAGGACCGGCAATATCGGTGATATTATCGAACTAGCAAATATAATGATATATATAAATATACATAAAAATATATAATATCAAATGCAAAAAAGTAAAAAAAAGAATGACCATAATAATTAATTTTCAACTTCTCAATGAGATAAAAATAAAACATTTTAAACCAATTTAAATTTTTTATTTTTAAATTAATAAATTTTATTTATTTTTATTGGTTGGTATTTTAGACCGGTATTTACGGTATGATCCCAGTACAAACCGGTATAACCGTAAATCCGGTATTTTGTGTGCAATTGTACCGTATCAATGGCCGGTATCCGGTATTACCAGCCGGTACGGTACGGTATTTAAAACATGTGTCCTAAGCTCTTTAATTACCTAATTTGTTGGACAAGTAAATACCCAATAAATATATATTCTCCTACCAACTAAATAAGATAAATAAGGACAATTATAATAAAGGGAATGGAAATAATGAAATATACTTAAGCCGGAGCAGATCATATTTTTCCAGATAGGCAAGTGCGATCTCGTCTCCATCATCCTCCCCTATTTGAGAAGGATTCACCCTCGAATCGGAGCCAATCTCGTCTCCGTCCGAGTTGTCACCCTGATATGGCACAAAATGTAACACCTCGCCTATATTTACTAAAATCAGAGTAAATTTTTCGTGCTTTGTAATTTGAAAACGCTTATTTAAATTTCGAAACGCTTATTAACCTTTTCGAAAAAACTTAATCTTTATCTCGCTACATGCTACTAAACTTACTAGTTTTATCTCTTTCTTTATCTCAAGACATTAAACATTCACACATGCAACCAAAACAAATCCACTCTACAGATAAGGCACCATGGAAATTTTGGAATTAAACATGCAAATCATATGTCTCATAATCTGAGTGTAAGTCTGAAAATGCAGAAGCAGACATAGTTCGAAATCATCAACAAACATACTAACTCAAACATGTTCAAATATATCACATGACATGTTTCTCAAAAATATCCTCTTGCTTATGACCACCACTGTTGTAGTTATTTTTACTGAAGTAGAATCGAAAGATTCGAACACCGGGTCGTATCTCAAGGAAGGTCAACCGGATTAAATTTTACTAATATTCAGTCACAGAAAAAGAAAATAATCCTAAACACTCTAATTCAATTATTTGAGTTTTCAATTATCAACTACGAGATTAACTACTAATGATTCTCCGACAAAGTAATTCAATCACACAACTTCAAACACGATTCAAATAGTGGTAAAGGGACTAGGGTGTCGGGGACAATCGTTTCTGGTTCTCAATACATTCAACAAGCAATCAATTACTCGGATAAAGGACTCAAAACACTAATTCATCAAGAGGTTTATCTCAATAACTCACGTAACAAGAGAATTAAACATAAACGAACAATCATCGAATCTATTAACACATAGACAATACGTTTTCGAACAAGTCTATTCTAAACGAGACAAGATCGATCAATTCCTCCCCTTTCGGTTCTAAAATCGATTAAATAGATTAGGATGGTGATCAATCATCTAACCCTAGGTATAACACAACTCGTTTAGATTGAGCAATTAAAGTACACACAAACAAAATTGAACCGGAACAATTATCCCCTAACCCTAGCTATGAATTTAGCTACTCATCACAAACAACATTAACATCAATCAAAGCCATCATCATCACAGGTATAATAAAATAGAAAGCTTACAATTTAATACGAATCAAATATCGAAAAGCAATGAGGAATCCAAATCCAAAGGTCTAATCTTGGAGTTTTCACTATCCAAGATTGACATCTAATGAAAAACAAGAGAAAATGTGTTTTTTTTTGCAGTGAAAAACGAGTATACCAGTCTCAGAATGCCCTAACATATGCCCTAGGTTTGAACTAAAAGCTTCCCCCAATTCAAAACCCATAAAAATCGCACCTGCTGTAAAATAGACCTTAGCGGCGCTAAGGCGCTGGCAGTCCAAATGTTGCATTTTCTTCGGCTCGCGTGCTCGGCTAGTGTCGCTCGGGTACTGCCCGAGCTGGAAACTCGACCTACGCATGATTAGTCGCATAAACGGGCATGGAATACCTGGTAACTGGAATAACCTAAAACCATCAAAACCGAACAAACACGGAAAGCAAGAAAAATAGGAAGAAAAACAAAGAAAATACCAAACATACCAAAATAAAGATAAAACACGAGAAACGATTAGACGGACCGGTAACACCTAAGAAACGACCTAAAACGGGGGAAAAATACACGCAAAACATACACAAAAATAGCAACAAAAATAGGACAAACAACTTACCCACACTAAAACCTTTGTTCGTCCCGAATAAAAAGAAAAGAAAAGAAAAGGAAAACAAACAAACGAGCAAGGACAACGGTTCAAGAAAGACTATTCTCAAACCAATCAATCAAGTCAAGAAGAATTCAAATGATCACAAGAACACACCTCAACTATTAACTTGGCTATTTTGAAGATGTAGACTTCGAGTACAAAAGTGTATCATATGTGCCTCACTCAATTTCTTTCTCAAATATCAACTGGGTACACTCAAATTGGTCGTCAGTCGAATCATTCATAAGTTTGCCTATCGTCTACTCTTACTCTAAAACAATCAAATTTGTGAAACAGTGAATGAAGAGGACTTTAAGGGATGTACATAGGCTCTTTGATTCGGGTAGGATAAATATAGGCTAAGTGGCTAAATAAAAATCAACTCAACTCAATCAGATAACCATAATCATGAACTCCTCCGGTTGCTGACACCAACTGGTTCCTCCCACTACTCCAAACCCAACATACTTCCCAAATTATTCAACATTTTTTTTTTTGTGAGAACCTTTGGATATGTTATGTAATCCATTCAGTTTCTCTCTCTTTTTTTTTTTTTTGTGTGTGTGAGAACCTTTGGAAATTTTATGTAGTCTATTCGGTTTCTCTCTCTCTTTTTTTTAATATTTTTATTTTTTATTTTTTATATGTATATACAAACACGATTCACCTCCAATTCTGCACCGCAACTCCACAATATCATCGTCACGAGGTTATAAAAGAAAGGAAATCAATATGGCTCAAAGGGAGTGACTAGCAAAATAATTTTCAGAAAAGGAAAGGGAAAGAAAATACAAGGAATGCCTCAATCATATTCACGTTCACAAATTCAATTATTTCATTTCTAAGCAGACTCAAGGAAAATTCTAATTGACAATGATTCTGACCAATAACTCACAAGAAAAGAAACGAACGTGGCTAAAACCTCACTAGGTAAAATAACTATCAACAAAACAACCAAGCTAATTAATCAAGATGTGCCACTCATTCTCATCATCACAACTTCTTAACCCAACTAATCAATCATCAACTAGTCTTACAATATACCAAGGTCCAAGCTCAGAAAGACACAAACAAATAATCCTACAAACTAGACCGGACCACAAAGCCAGAGAAAAGAAAATAAAAGCAATCCTAAAAAGAAAAACTAGACCTGGTCAACCATAAAGCCACGTAAACACTTACAATTCTCCCACACTTAAAATTAGAAATTGTCCCCATTGTCAATCCTAAGTACATGAGAGCTAGACCACACAATTAAACGACCAGAAAATAAAACAAGAAATACAAAAATAAAAGAGAAAGAGAAAGAGAAACGTACAAAGCACAGTGACAACTCACTGTGCGTCCGATGATGGCAGTGGAGGGTTGCTGCTCCCCGCATTCCTAAGGGTATCCCACTGGCTGAAACGGGTATCCCAAGTGCTCCACTGCTGGTATAGCCAGTTCGCCCAAGTGTCCCATCGGTTGTCATGGGCTGTCCAGTGTGTTAGTGTTATATAATGAAAGCTTGGCTTTGCATGTTATTACACATTTACCCTTTATAAATGAGAATCATGTTAGATTAAACAAGTTCTACGTTCTGTTGTTCTGCACTTAGATAGGGTGGGTCGTCATCGGGCGAACCGAAGATCACTGTATCAGTCACTTGCGAACAAGAATAGTTGTTCACAATCTAGATGGACATGAACACCCCATCTGAACGGTTGTAGTGTCAACTGTACAGTTTGTCTTGACTGATTAGTTGCACTAGTACATTTATGTATTGAACAGGATCCTAGAGAGGAGAAGTTCATTTTATACTGATCGTCGTAAATGAACTAGACCTCGGTTAATTACTGCGTTCTCTTAACCCGTAAGATATTAAACAGGCAGATATATATAATATATAATACTTTGATTCACATGGGTGAGGTTCAGTTCGCTGGATTAATATTCCTACTGTTTTGGGTAATATTATTATAAATAGGATGTGCTGTTAGGATATTTACGGTCACCATGTGCGTTAGTTTGATGATGTCCCCAGAGTGAGTTCATGAAGGATTGTTATGCTAAACCCTGCAGGTGGATTAAGTTCCGGCTTAATAACACTGTGATGACCGAGCGCTAGCTTCGGTGAAATAATAATAAATTAATTAATTCTTGATTGTCAGTAATCGAATTAATTAATGGACATTATATCTTAAACGTGAGGAGGTAAATCGAGTTATTATTATTGGAGTCTCAAATGTAATTTAGGCTAGGAAAAGGGAGTGCAATAATATAATGTTGGTGGCCCATTAATATTATTTAATTAATTAG